AAAAAAAAAAAAAAAAACAAAAAACAAAACAAAACAAAACAAAAAAACAAGTTTTTAAATATTGTTTTTCAGTTTTGTTTTCGAAACTTGAATTTTAAAAGCACTAAGAGAAAGTAATCACAATTCAATAACTTTAGCCAATTCGTTACATAATCTCTCTGTTCCAGGCTTGCCCCATTTGCTACACTGAGGTTTTTGGTGACATTTCAAAACGTTAAAGAAGCTATCAACATCATGAGAAAGGGAACCCATCAAAAGGTTTGAGTCATTCATTTTGAAGATACCAATTTCGTTTGCTTTCTCATCTTCTACTTTGTACAATCGTCGTACGATAAACGAAGTGCTCGACTTCTATACAGAGGATTGTAGAGTATAGAAAAGATTTCCTTTTTTTTTTTTTTCTTTTTTCAATTTGGCTCATGTTGAACCACGGCGACTTGGTTTTGCCTTCACCAATTACAATTATTTCTTATTAGTTGGAGGGCATAACTGAGGGACAAAAGATGGTCAAGACTCAATCCAGTTCATTTGCCTCGTCGTGCTCCCTTGTTGAAGCTATGGAACGAGTCCTTTTTTGTTGTTTTGTTTTTTAAATTAGCAAGTTGAGGTATCGTAGCTGGTAATTATACAGAAAATCATTATTTCATGCGTTGGTATTGAACTTTGTTTTTATTTATTAGCTTGAGAAGAACTTTGGAATTTAATTCACGTTTTCATACTCATTTCAAATTGATTGTTTGCATATATAATCATTATTTAGCAAACCATGAACATTTAACTGATTAAAAAAAAAAAAAAAACTTGTTTCTTGTTGATTTATATGAATTTTGGAATCTGTATATAGGAATGCTTTTAGTCTAGGAACAGTGTATTAATCATAATATTGAGAGATGGGATATATTTTAATAGTTTGACTCCAATTTTATTTTATTATTTGAACTCATATGAAAATATTCTTTGGCTAATTTTTATTATAGAATAGGGAAAAGTATGCAAAATAGGAGAGCATGACTGAGTAACTACCTCACAATTAATTAGTAAACACCAGGTCCAATCACCTGCAAATCAATTCATGTTACTAATTTTCAGGTCAGCTCTTGTTGGGTCAACATCTTATAAATTCATGAAAAATGAAAAAATAATGGCCCGATCTAACTTTATTTTTAAAAAAATTAAATTAAATTATAAGTTTTAGCTAGTTGATATCAAATAAGTCTCTAAATTTTATAATTTATCTTAAAACAATCAATTTACCTTCAACTTAGAGATAGCTATTGATAAAAACTTTCAATTCTAAAATTTCTATCTATTATTACTTTAATCCATATGAGACATTAAGAAATTATTAAGTAAACTTTTTTATATGTTTTAGACTGTTCAAAAGTTCACTTTCAAAATAATTAATTCATTAATTTTTCGGGCAATATGACATGACAATTAGTTAAAATAAAAATTTTGAATCGACAATAACATAATTGACATGTATGGCTATTTTATAAATCACAAACATATTATGTCTTCACTTTAGAGATATAAAATTTGTTTGAAAACAAATTTGAAATTTAAAACTATGAATAAATTTTTTGAAAGTCTATAAACCGTAGAATTTAAATTATTTAATGTTAAGTTAAACATCAGGTAAGTTATTAAATAAAATATTTTCAATAATTTTTTTCATTCCATCAATAGAATTTAATTTGGTTTTATACAATCAGTCAACTTATAAAAAAAATAATAATAATAATATAAAGGAATTGGTATGAAGTATCAAATTATCCCATAGAATTTAATTTAACTTTATACCATTAGTCAACTTATAAAAAAATGAGTGAAAAAATCAATTTATCCCCTGAATTTGGTAGGTAGTATAAATCTAACGCATAAACTTTCAAATTTATCAATTTGAATTCCATTTAAACCAATATTTCAATTTTTGTTCAATTATTGCTAAAATTCATATATTACTTTAATAAATAAATAAATAAAACTTTATCAAAATTCTCAAATATCAACAAATATTTTATCATTACATAAAATTAAGTTCTATCAATAAACTAAGTTCAATCTCCCAAAACCTTAAAAAAAAAAAAAATAATAATAATAACTTTCGTCTCATTTTCCTTAATGCCTCACCAATTTAATACATGATATATGTTCTTTAATTCATTAATCACACATCATTGTCTTTCTTTAACAATTTTTTTTCTAAACAAAGACTTCTAAAATTGGTAAAAAAAAAAAAAATTAACATTGATCTGAAATTTGATAAAATTAAAAGTATAATTAAATTTCTAATGGTAAATAAATAAAACTTATTCTCACTACCAAATATATATTACGAGAGATAAAAGAATCTAACACGCAAATATTAGATCTATTAGATCTATGTTGCATAATTTTATACTCATTATGCAACTCATCCCAATAAATTATTAAAGAGAAAAAATAAAAAGCTTAAAATATACTTTTAGTTAATATCATTTCTAACAAACGTGAAAATTTAAAAACAGAAATGTAGCTTTAATCTTTAGAAAAACCTCATTAAGTCAACAAAATTAAAGAAAAATTTGCAACAAATGAGGCAGATATAATGTAATTAAAATAAAAGCGTTACCAAAAGTCAAGAGAGACAACTTTAATTAGAAATTATAACACTGACATGGTAAACCAACCCCCATTTCTATGAAGGAACAAAAATATGCTTAGAACGTGCAGTACTTGTTCTCTTAAATTAAGGCCTCAAAGGCATCTCCATCAAGTTAGTTGTCGATGGCCATGATGAACTAACAAACTCAATATTCAATTCAAGCTTCCAAAAAGTCCTATCTCTGATAAGCCAAGATTGAATTAAAAAACTGTAATGCATAGTTTTAGGCCCAAAAAGCTTTCACATTTGAAGATTATTCAATCATAATCTGTCAACCAACAAGGCATTGATGAGTAGTATATAAAGGGTTGGAAGCATACCTTGTAATGCAACTCACACCCATAATCTATTGTATTTGAAGGAGATAGATATCCAGCAATAAGTGGGCATTGCTGGAAGATGGGGGCTATGAAGCCTTTGAGGCATTGGCCTCAGCTGCTCTCGGTGGTGGCGATTTGCCTCATTGCCACCACCGTAGTGACTGCTCAACTCGAAGATGATTTGATGTTACCTATCAAAAACCCTGAACTCGGTGGTGATTTACCAAAGCATCATCATCACAATACTTATCCGCCGGTGGATCATCACCATAAACCACCACAGTCGAAGTATGGACACCACCACAAGTCACCACCTCCACCAAAATACAAGCACCACCACATGCCACCCCCACCCAAACATTACCACCACCACAAGTCACCACCTCCATATCTTTACAAGTCTCCGCCGCCACCGTCTCCTTATGTTTATAAATCTCCTCCACCGCCTCCGTATGTCTACAAGTCTCCACCACCACCTCCCTACATTTACAAGTCTCCGCCACCACCTCCTTATGTCTATAAATCTCCTCCACCACCTCCATATGTCTACAAGTCTCCCCCACCACCCCCCTACGTCTATAAATCTCCTCCACCACCTCCATATGTCTACAAGTCTCCCCCACCACCTCCCTATGTCTATAAATCTCCTCCACCACCTCCATATGTCTACAAGTCCCCGCCACCACCTCCATATGTTTACAAGTCTCCGCCACCACCTCCTTACGTCTATAACTCTCCTCCACCACCTCCATATGTCTACAAGTCTCCACCACCCCCACCTTATGTCTACAAGTCCCCACCACCACCTCCCTACGTTTACAAGTCTCCGCCACCACCTCCCTACGTCTATAAATCTCCTCCACCACCTCCATATATCTACAAATCTCCGCCGCCGCCACCCTACGTTTACAAGTCTCCCCCACCACCTCCCTACATTTACAAGTCTCCTCCACCACCTCCCTACATCTATAAATCTCCACCACCACCATCTCCTTACGTTTATAAATCTCCTCCACCACCTCCATATGTCTACAAGTCTCCTCCACCACCTCCCTACATCTATAAATCTCCCCCGCCACCATCTCCTTATGCTTATAAATCTCCTCCACCACCTCCCTATGTCTACAAGTCTCCTCCACCACCCCCCTATGTCTACAAGTCTCCACCACCCCCACCGTACGTTTACAAGTCTCCACCACCACCTCCCTACGTTTACAAGTCTCCGCCACCACCTCCCTACGTCTATAAATCTCCTCCACCACCTCCCTACGTTTACAAGTCTCCGCCACCACCTCCCTACGTCTATAAATCTCCTCCACCACCTCCCTACGTTTACAAGTCTCCGCCACCACCTCCCTACGTCTATAAATCTCCTCCACCGCCTCCCTACATCTATAAGTCTCCTCCACCGCCACCCTACGTCTATAAATCTCCTCCACCGCCTCCCTACGTCTACAAGTCTCCACCACCACCTCCTTACATCTACAAATCTCCTCCACCACCACCTTATGTCTATAAGTCCCCTCCACCACCTCCCTACATCTATAAATCTCCTCCACCACCTCCTTATGTCTACAAGTCTCCTCCACCACCTCCCTACATCTATAAATCTCCGCCGCCACCATCTCCCTACGTCTACAAGTCTCCGCCACCACCTCCCTACGTCTACAAGTCTCCGCCACCACCTCCCTACGTCTATAAGTCCCCTCCACCACCTCCCTACATGTATAAATCTCCGCCACCCCCTCCCTACGTCTACAAGTCTCCACCACCACCTCCTTACATCTACAAATCTCCTCCACCACCTCCCTACGTCTACAAGTCCCCTCCACCACCTCCCTACGTCTACAAATCTCCACCACCACCTCCCTACGTCTACAAGTCCCCTCCACCACCTCCCTACGTCTATAAATCTCCGCCACCCCCTCCCTACGTCTACAAGTCCCCTCCACCACCTCCCTACGTCTATAAATCTCCACCACCGCCTCCCTACGTCTACAAGTCTCCACCACCACCTCCTTACATCTACAAGTCCCCTCCACCACCTCCCTACGTCTACAAGTCTCCACCACCACCTCCTTACGTCTACAAGTCTCCACCACCACCTCCCTATGTCTACAAGTCCCCTCCACCACCTCCCTACGTCTATAAATCTCCGCCACCACCTCCCTACGTCTACAAATCTCCTCCACCACCACCCTATGTCTATAAGTCTCCACCACCGCCTCCCTACGTCTACAAGTCTCCACCACCGCCTCCCTACGTCTACAAGTCTCCTCCACCTCCATCTCCATCTCCTCCCCCACCTTATATCTATAAATCACCACCTCCACCATCTCCATCACCACCTCCTCCATATATTTACAAATCTCCGCCTCCACCATCTCCATCACCTCCTCCACCTTATTACTATAAGTCACCTCCACCTCCATCCCCATCACCACCACCACCTTACTATTACAAGTCCCCTCCCCCTCCAGTGAAGTCTCCACCACCTCCATATTATTATAAGTCTCCACCACCACCATCTCCATCACCACCACCACCTTATTACTACAAATCACCTCCTCCACCGCATAAATCCAAATATCCACACTAGAACACCACCAACAAAAGTTCACTAAGTGATGTCATTTAAATTATATTAAGTTGTATGAATAATATTAGCCAACTTTCTACGTAGAAGGTGAATTTGGAGGCGATCAATTTAATTAATGGTGTGCTGTTCCTGGATCCTTTGCGAGTGTATCATTCCAGAGGACTTGTTGTATTGTTTTTTTGGCATCCAAGATCTGGATGCTAAAGATTTGAATTCTATCAATTGTTGTATTTGACTTTACATAATCCTTCGCAAATTCAATTCTTCTGGTTTGTGTTTATCACTATTTCATTTAAATTTATGTATTTTGATGTTTAATTGATGATGACGAGGTCGTAAGCTTTCTGAAATTGATGTATTTAAATGTTCAAGTTACGATGATAGATCGAATACTTTCTAACCATCGCTCCAAATACTACTGAACTAACGGTTGCTGATAAATTCTTAACTAAAAATCATTAATCCTTTTGTTCATCTAATAGGATGTTCTTGTTTCTTATAAAAATAATAAACAAAAAGGATAAAGGGTGGTTTGAATTTTTACACTCAGGATCACACTGGCTGGAGGTAAAAAGGGAGTAAATGCCAACTGACAAGAATTAAGATGGGATGGTCTTCGTTGAAATTTAATACATGTTGTCACTAAACAGATGTAGCTTTCGTTTATTTATAGGGTAGAACGAGAAGCTGAAGAGAAAAGTAGGTGTCTTCTTCTAATTAAGACTTTTTCAAACCCAAAACAGTGAGAACAAGCTGAAAATAGTTAAGACTGTAAGCTTCTCGAAGCAGCTGAAGCTTGTGACTGTTCCATGGCGGATATCTGAACCAGAAGTCAACCAAAAAGCTCCTCTGCAGAACAGCCTTTTCATGACTAAAAGTGTCGAATGAGAATTTTCCATGGTACCTTCCAATCCCACTTTCACCAACCCCTCCAAACGGGAGTGTATCGGCTGCATACTGAATCGACAACAAAAACGACAATAAGGCTTTTGAAGCAGCAGCAGCAGCTTATAATGGCTTGTTTTGCTTTTCACCCACTTGTGTCAGCACACCTACTAAGGTTTCTCCATACAGACTATGGCTCAAGTTATGAGGCCAAGCTTAAATTTGCGGTTTGTTTATTTCGATCTATGGATTTGCTGATTCTAATTCTACTTTGCCATACTAAAAAAAAAATTGATATATGATCATCCAAACATAGGCCATATAGTTCAGATCCAAAACTATTTCAGCTCACACTTAATACTAAAAGATTTTTCAATGCTTTCGTAGAATGGAAATGGAAAAGTCCGTACCTGAATAATTGCATCATTGAATGTCAAACTGCCGGACGAGGTTTCTGAGACGAGTCTCCTTTGGAAAGCTTTATCCTTCGTGAAGGCATAAACGGCGAGAGGCTTAGGCTTTGAATTGATGAAATCTATACTGTCTTCAATCCTGTCCAGCTACCCAAGGAAGAAATTGAATATGATCCATCACTTTTCACTTTTACTAATCCACCAGAATGAAAGGCTGGACAATATTTATAGAGCTGTAAATGAAGAACATGAACTTACTCCAATTATGGGAAGCAATGGTCCGAAGATTTCATCCGTCATAATTTCTGCATCGCTTGGCGGATTCAACAGAATAGTCGGCTCAACAAACCTAATTCATTTGATCACATTGTTTAATTTAATGAAGTATTATTATGTCATATGTGGAATAGACTACTAATATTAATCACTCACAATTTGTCTTCGTCCATGGATCCCCCATAGATGATCGAAGCTCGTACGTCAGGTTTATCCACCAGATTCTTCAATCTCAAGAAATTTTGTTTGTTTACGATCCTCGCCATGGTTTTCGCCTGGTTCGAACTTCTATCGAAGAATTCCTTGATGAACTTCTTCATCAATTCGACCTAAAAACAACGAATCAAACACTGCATTCTGAAAATTAAGGGGAACGATCGAGCGATTAATCAAGAAATCGTACCAAGGTAGGTATGAACCTATGTTCAATGAGGACATAATCGATCGCAATGCAAGCTTGACCGGCGCAGTTCCCGAATTTTCCGATGACGATCCGTTTGGCAGTAGCCTTGCAGGTCAAAATCGAAGAAGAATCATGTCCTATTCTGTTTCTAATATTGCAGAATTAAAACAGCGGGAGCGTAGCGGCAAAATCATTTGTATTTATATAAATAAATAAGTAAATATATAAATATAAAACTAATTAATTATACACCAAAGAAAGGTTAAATTCTAAACTTATTTTTTTAAAAATTAATTTTTTTTTTAATTTCATAAATTTGATTTTATATCATGGAGATTGTTAATGAAAGTTTTATAAAACTATAGGTATTATTTTAATTTAAGTTTTAACTATAAATTTGATAATTGTATTAATTATAATTAATTATAATGCATTTTTATTTAAGGAAACACTAATAAAAATACTATCATCTTCATTTAATGAACATTAAAAACAAATTAATGAAGCTTCAAAAATAATTGACACTATAAAATTAATTGATTTAAATGTTCAATCTAATTATATTTAATAATAATTTTTTTTTCTATAAATTATTGAAAACGACCGACATAAACTGTCCCAAAGAAAGTAAACGAACCTCAATGTCCCATGAAAATGAGAGTGAGTCAACGATGGCCGGGCACTTCCCGCCGAGCTCCAAAGTCACCGGCGTCAGGTGTTTCGCGGCGGCCGCCATAACAATCCGCCCCACTCGGTCACTTCCTAAGTGTTTTTTTACATTCAAAATTCAAAACCAAACATTATTATATAACAAATAATAATTATATTAATGCAACCACCACAGGATCAACTGCTTCAATTAATTACTTCCACCTGTAAAGAAAATCTTCTCCCACCGCTGCTGCAGCAGCCGCTCCCCAGCCGCCGCCCCACCTTCCACAACCCTCACAGCTTTATTATCAACATATTTCCGGATGGTATTCGCCAGCAAAGCCGAACTCGCCGGAGCAGATTCCGACGTCTTCAGAACCACGCAATTTCCGGCAGCTATTGCTCCAATCAACGGCTCCAACGACAACCCTTATCCCATTTTCGACACCCATATGTTATTATTAACGACAAGATCAAAAAAACACTTCCAAATCAAATTTTCACTCACCAATCGGAAAATTCCAAGATGAGATTATAAGAACAACGCCCAAAGGCTGAGGAACCATTTCAGCTGAGCTTAACAACGCTATTAATGGCAGCTTTGCCTGCATTTCAAGAAATTAAACACATTTTTAACAAACCCATTTGGATTAAAGATCATAACCCATCTAAAAAATTTACCTTTTTGGGTGACATCCAATGCTTCAAATTATCCAAAGCAGAGTTGAGGGACTTTTGCAGAGTACCAATCTACAAAAAATGGCAAAATCTCAATAAAAAAAAAAAAAAAACAAACAAACAACAACAACAACAACAAAATCAAGATCAAAACCTCATCTCTAAAAGCTTCAACATGGTGTTTCCCCAAATCTTGCATAAGGGCGGTGTAAATTTGGTGTTCATTGTGTTCTATAAGTTGGCGTAAGGCTTTGAGCTGTGACACCCTCCAAGAGGCCTCCTTTGTTATACCAGTCTTGTAGTAATCTCTCAAATCCTCTGAATCCATTGTTGTTTGCTTGGATCTTACTTACTTGCTTCAACTATTTATACTCCAAACAACTATCCCTCTCGCTGCTCTTCATATTCCTTTTCTCCATCCCACTTGTGCCTCTTCTTCTCAATTTATGATTCCATTAATGCTAGCTAGTTAGGTTCTTGTATTAAATTTACGTGTTTCGCTTATAACTGCGTAAAAGTCTATTTCCACGTCCACTTTCAAGTTTTCGTTGTCAAATACTACATCGGTTAAGGACGGAAACAAAACATTCTTTTTATGACCGTGTGAAAATCTCTCATTTGCAAACGCGTTTTAAAAACTTATAAAAATTTTAAAAATGCAATATCTCCTAGTGGTAGGCTTGGACGGTTACATTTGTTATTTCGAAACTAAATTATAACTTCCATTTTAGTTTATACGGAAGTAATCATATAATACTAAATACACTTATCTAATTATCAAAATATCTTACCGAGGGTGAATGGAATTATTGTTATCCGCTATATATTTATATGCACATGTCAAAAATCATTAATGATAGATCATAGGAAATTCTAAAATAAAATAGTATTTTTTTCTGTGTAATAATGAATGTAAAGATGAAGTAAAGGGGAAGTGGGTGGAGATATGGAGTCTTTAGACAGGAGGGAACACCCCGGCGTGGGTTGCTCTATGAACTAATAAAATTAAATAAAGTGTCCTTTTTAATTAGCCTACTTTAGTTATTATAATTTTAAATATTCAAATTTAATTATGAACATTTTTTTATATCTAAATTGGTTTGATAATAATAATAATTTTAATATAAGAAAAAACTTGAGGTAAATAAAATAAAAATAAAAAATAAAAAATAAACTTGAAAACAATGAGACTAAATTTGAATATTTAATAGTATAAATACTAAAATGAAATGAAAATTTAAAAATAGGGACCAAACTATTTTTTTTTTAATTTTTTTATTTTATTTTATTTTATTTTTTTGGGTGAGAAAAGCTCTAGAAGTAAATAATGTTTGGAGAAATTAAAATGAAGTTAAGTTGGTCCCTTTCAATTTAATGCTTATGGGATAAATAATTTTAAAAGAAAATTTGTATTATTAAGAGAAGTGATGTGGCTTAATTTGGGCCAAAAAAAGAAATCAACAGACATTACTACTACACCGCTCCTTGTAACCTATTAATCTATTATTATTATTATTAAATAAATGCAACAAGATGTAATAATTGAAGTTAGTAAATACGTCACAATCATTAATTTCTCATTTGTAAGGACACTAAGGACACTATTTTCCTAATTTTTATTTTAATTTTTATGTTAAATAAGTTCAACGTATTTTTGTATTATTAAAGGTTCGAGAACTTATTATACACAAAATTTATATTTTTTAGATTCGTTAAACATTTTTTTTATGTTTAGAAGCCTATTAGACATAATTAAAATTTTAAATATTTATGATATTCTTAAAATTTAAAAGTTCAAACAACATGGAATACGGTCCCAAGAATACAAAATTTGTTTGAAAAGATAAGTTTTAGTTGATACCATGCTAATTTACACTCAACATGTGTAGTTGGTTGAGAAAAAGTCACCTAGGAAGATGCCACTTTCAATAACCCAAGCATTTAATGAATGAATTAACATTACATCGTATCGTATTAAGAGATCTTAAGGTTTTGCAAAGCATAATTATGAATTTAAAAATTCCTTATTTCTAAGGGAGAAAAGACAGAGAAAGGGATGTAAATGACAATTAACAAACGAAAAAACTGCAGCCCAGACAGAGCCTACAAATTGGGCACAGAAGGTAGAGAAAGTAGCACAAAGGGTCCAGCAATAAACATTCACCATAAAACCAGCGATAAATTAGAGATGGATTTGATAGTTCATCATCAATCGCCGTAGCAACAACAAAGACATACTGTAACCATTTAATGCCTGTAACCATAACTGAGTAATCACGTTGCCAATAATAAAACACCACACAAAACCCTCTTGTACCTGCTCTCCAATGGCTAAAATTAGATGATAAGAATAATCATATGATATAATAAAAGGGCATCACAAGGAATTAAATTCAATATGAGTCAATAATCTATCCAAATATGTTTCATGTTCAACTGTAGTTTACCATGATGTCAAAGCAAGAGGTCTTGTGATTTGATTAAATATCCATAATGTTATAATCCATTGATTATTAATATACATTTCTCCAACTGTTCATCTTAATCTGCTAAACCTAATCAATTTTGCTGGGGAAAGGCAGATTGCTCATCTTCTACCCAACAAATGCTAACCTAAAAGCTATGAACATAGTATTCAGACTATTGAAAATGACAAATAGCATGCTTATTTCACATGATTAATGTGAAATGACGCGTTTCTAACTCCTTCACCAACTTCTCTATTAAGGGATTAACAAAGTAAATGGGGCCTAGAACAATCGATCAGTTTCCTCCATCCATAAACTAGGACATTAAATGAATGGAAAAGGCAAAGTGAAAGAGAACCACACAATATTTGAACTGAACATCATATATCTATATGTCTATATATATATATATATATATATATACACACACACATTAATTGAAAACTGAACACCATATTTAGTCACTAGCAAGTTGCGTCTTAAAAGTTATCACAAATATGAAGGATGAATTAGTGCGACAGACACATACCCGAGTAATTGTTGCATCTGCCTGATCAAGGCCCACATCCAGCACATATTTCCTTTTCTATTGAAGCAGTTGCAGTCGTTTATTTACTACTTGAGCAGCTTTTAGATTGGCTTAAACTGCCGTGCAATCAGAAACTAGTTCACATCCATATATCCACAATTACCGTCCATTACGAACAAGACTTGTCTACTTGCCCACTTTCTGTTAAAGAGGCTCCTGGTACTTTAAACCATGACACGGATTGATAAAAATAGGGCTTAAAACCAAGATACAACTTTTTATATGACATTTAGAAAGAAATAATAATAAGCACAAATGGCTCATCTTTTCGGGTAGTTCCTCAACAACCCCGATTAAATTGTTTGTTCCTTCCAGGTAGACAGCCTAGACAGCCACTGTTCAGCTATTTGACTGTTATGTATATTTGACCATATCCTTCCAATAAGTCCCAAAAGAGAACACAGCTCTTTCTGAATAGAAGATGAATCCAACTCCAGAGTTGCTCTTGCTAGGGGAAACAAAAAAATTTGTCTCTTTACCCATCTACTCACCTAGCGAAGGAAACTTCTCTATCTCGTTGTGTTGGATTCGTCTGAGCCTTTGTTGTAGCCTTACCTGTAACCAATAGAAAATAAAATAAAATTGTTATTTCAGATGTGTCCCCTGTGCTTTGACTCAGTATTCTGAATTATTTTACCCCACTATGTGATTCTTACCTTCGTTCTTCTCCATTTTTTTTCTACTTCGCCAAAGAAGCCGAATTGGCGTTCCAGGAAAACCTGCATCTGTACGCAGTTGTTTCTCCATATACCGCCGATATGTTTCAGGAAAAAGTTTGGCATCATTTACAAAGAAAACAAACGTGGGTGGCCTTATAGCAGCCTGTGGAGACAAAGAAATATAACATATAACCAAGTTTAACAAGAATACTTGATAGATATATAGTGCTTAAAATTTTTATCAACAATGTGCTGCCTTATAACATGAAGGAAAGAAATGCAAAATTTCATATGATAGGAACAAACTAACAATTTTGCAACCTTCATCCTAAACCAAGAGCTGTAGATCATAGAACCAAAAGAAGAATCGCCTTTAGTAATGAATACCTGAGTACAGTAATAAACACGTCCTCTCTTGCCCCCCCTTGTCCTTGGGGGTGACTTAAAAGCTAATGCTTCCTGTACTACTTGATTTAGTATGGAAGTAGTAAGCCTTCTAGACCTTTCCTTTTCAACTGCACTAGCAGCAGTTATAATCCTGATCCCACCATAAAAAATACGGCCATAAGCGTGCATCCAAATGCCAGTATATAAACAATAAAAGAAATCTTGTGCATACATATTGTATTTCCTTTCAATGGCTTGGAATATAAGGGAAAACTTCTACCATATAAACCATGTGCACGTTGAGGCACAATATGAAAAATGTCATGTATAAATAACTTTAGAAGTGTGATGGAACATACTTATCGACACTGTGACCAGTTATTGCAGTAGAGTAAACAATCGGTGCCCAATCAAGTGAACGTAGCTTTTCCCTGACATCTTGCTCATAGTACATTGTAGTCTGTTGGTTTTTATTTGGTATGGTATCCCACTTGTTGACAACTATCAGGCAACCTTTTCCTTCTTTCTCAATCCTTTCCGCTATTTTGTAATCCTAGGACATTCAAGTGGAATATGACAAGGTGGTGTAATTGAAAAACAATTAAGGAAGAAACAAAAGAATAAGCAAGAATAATCAACAAGTTGTTATATATGCTCTAAATAAAAAATAACAAAGCCCAAACGAAGATCTTTATAGGAAAAATGAAGCCTAACAAGGCTAGTAACATTCTGTTCCAAATGAAGAACTGTCTAGATACACCGCTACAAATTCAATCATATCCTATCAAATTAGGAAGAAAGTGCAGCACCCGAGAGCTGTGTTGTTCAGCACGTTGGGAGTCTTGAAAAGTGAACCATCTTGAAGTTCAACATTACTAGTCTAAATGTACTTTAGTAAAGTGAGAAATGATGAAGGAAACAATTTTCTTCTCCCTACCTTCTAACCAAGTGTTTCGAGAGTAAGGCTCTCCAAAACTAAACCAGAAAACCACCTGTTCGGTTACAAATAATAAAGTTCTACAACAGGCCTGTGACTGACATAAAGAGATTGGCCAAACAGTCCACAGCAGCCCTGACACAAAACGTGGGGGGAAACCTTGAACATGGAAAACATGAATAGTAGAGTTGGAACCTGGACCTTGGATTTGATATGCATGAAACTGGGTAGCACGTAGCAATAGCTTTAGTTAGAGTGTTAGCAGCCCACAGATGTAATAAAGTGCAAATCTAGCTCAATATATTTAGTATGAGCATAGAAAACAGTATTGAGACAGCACTATTAGATTACACCAAAATAAAGG